GTGGTAATTAATTATTAAAACTCTTATCGTTTGCTCCTTAAAATCAAATATTTCGTCGCTTTGTTCTTCAACCAAATAAATGGTCGTTTTGTAACAATGACTTCAGAATATCGATAGTAATACAAACGGGATGGTAAAGGCATTCTTACGATTTTGAATTGCATTTAATATTAGTGTACTTTCTTTGCTTTCTCTGTGTGTTGTATGTAAACTGTTTGCAAAGGAAAACTAACTGGAAGTAGACCTCATAGAAACGGAATCCCGTATATTGAAAGTCGCCATAATATAGAGGACAGTTGTAATGAAAACATACAAACGAGAGAGAGGGAGAAAGAGAGAGAAACGCCTTCTCTTACCACTTCCAGTATTTGGTATAATGTCAGGGACAGGCGTACTTCCAATGCGCGTGAATAGTTTTTCACGGGCCGAACCCACTTATTGTATTGCTGCAGCAGATTGTTAAACAGGCGCTGTTCTATCCAATACTCATCGTTGGTGGTGTTGCCTGGAATGAAGTTCATTTTATAATTAGAAAAAACATTCATCCTAATATGATTAAGAAATTATTTTTGCAATTATTTTCAAATAAAGCTAGTTTTGTAATTGACAAAAGATTTATAATCGAAATTAGATCCATCTATGCAAAAATCTTATTTCATCTCAGACTCCTAAAAAAGGTCCAGAGCTAAATTGTCTCCCATCGAGACCGAGAGTATTAATAAGTGTTAAGATATTGAAAATACTTTATAACACGACTTGAGTAGAAATATCTGCTTTAGCACAAGATTCTAAGAATCTTAGCAGTCTAAGTTGTCTTTCAAAAAGAATATTAAAAACATCTTATCTCGTTATAAAAAAAAAAACAAACTAAAACTCATAGCGCATAGGATTTGGTTTAACAACAATGGCGTTATTAGGTATCTCAACTACATTCATTGTGGGCGCTTGAAAAACGCACAAGGCCAACAAAACAAAGTCGTCTGAACTTTTAAATGGGTACGAGACTGAACAAAATGGGCAGGGTTAGCAGTCTAAGCTAAATTTCAAAGTTTTGGACTTTTTATGAAACAAGCTGAGCTTTAGAATATATTTGCATGTACAGTATGGAGATCTGGGCGAGAGATGGTGCAGTTCACCTGTCCAAAAGGTCAACTTTCCTTTTTATTGTGTTATGATGTAATCATGAAATTAAACTGAAAAACAACCAATGGTCATTCATCGTAGAAAGTCTCATGCTTTTATCAACTTTTGCACAATTCTTGAAAAAATGGACCTAACCGCCTGACTATTACTAAAGTTACGAGGTAGAAGGGTAGCAGGGATTTTTAATCCTACTCCACAGACTTTGAAATATCATTTATTTTGTTTTTACGTTTAGTATTTTGTTAATATAATAAACAATGTATTATAAACTTTATGTGTATTGTAATCAATTGTAAAAATTCAACCTAACAGTAGGAATTTGAATAAAGAACTGGTAGTGTAACAGTACATGTATATCATTCACAGTAATCATAATATAACTCTAATATGCTGCACAAGAAAAAACATAAGTTGTGAAAAAGTTGAGTTGGGAAGGAAAGCGAGGGCACGATCAAAATTTGTCTCATGTAATATTTTGCGTCTTTCATTTACATAACTGTTTTAAATATTTTTCTTTACAAAGGATAACAGGGTCCAATTTAGACATTTAAACGCTGAGTTTGCTTAACAGAGAGTATTTATTGAATGTTATTGACTTTTCTCAATTGTCTAGGCTGTTATTTCATCGCCGTCGCAGTCTGCCTTGTTTGTTTTAGTAAGTTAATAGCCACTTTTTCATTTTTTATGAAATAGCTATCCAATTTCCCTTCCAATCATTCTCATATCGGAAGGGTCACATATCAAGCTGACCTTAATATCTACAGTATATGCAGCAAAAAGACAACGATTTGCACGATAAAGAATATTTATGAAAACTTTAATTAAATAACACATATAGAAGTCTATATTGGTGACATCGAAAAGAGGGTTCTGTTGGAAACGCCCCAAGTGTATTGTAATCTTAAGTTCTAATTTTCACATCCAAAAAAGTTTGAATCACACAAACAAACAATCACAAAATTAACAGTATATTTATTTGTATTTCAGTTATCAATACATGTTGTTTTCGTGCATCATTTTTGAATATTTGAAACATTTAATAAAGGTATCAAATTGTCCCATGACACTTACCTGCCCTTGAGTCTTCAATGCTGCATTGCAACAGAAGCACCTTTAAAAGAAGCCATTTGATCGTCATGGCGCTCAGAGTATCTCTTTGACACCTACGTTATAGGCGCTCCTCTAAATGTTTGGACACAATTGTCGTATCCCACAATCCCCACTTATGGGATATTGACTTGTTCGATAAAACATTTATGTTTACTATCCTAGGAAACAATCGGGAAAATGTGCTATGAGAGATACATGTATTATTAGAACCGTCGCCAGAACTAGCATGCAGGCTGTATTGTACAGCTAAGCACAGAAACCTAGTCCTGCAAATCTTTGGAAAACGTTGAATACTGAATTCTACACTAACAACCGAATGCAGTATCTTTTACTTTTATGTTTTATTGCTCTGTAGTTGTATTAGAATAGATAAGACCCTTGGGGTGCTTTCCCAGAGATTTAGATCGATCTAAAGATTAAGTTTTAGATCGACCTAACTCCCTGGGGGTTCAGGCTAAATTGCAGTCAGCCGAGCGGACACCATAGTTAATTACCCCCTTACAGCTTTTAGTAAGCGGGACAAACGCTTAAGCCGGCCAAGCTGACAGTAATCTAGTTAGACTCCCCACAGGGATAGATCGATCTAAAAATCTATGGAAATGGGGTGTTGGGAATGTGATACGACGTTCTCTTAAGTATGCAGTGGATTTTTGAGAATTAATCTTTTCCACATAAAGCTGCAAAATCTTGATATTAACAACAATGTGATTAATGTTGAAAACCTTTGCTGTCTATAGAAAATGCCAAGAAAATTGAGTAAGGCGATTACAATCTGTTTAAGTTAAGTATTAACAGTAGCAATAACTCTTCAGTACTTAATTTGAATATCAGTATACATGTACACATATGATCAATTATGTTCAATAGCCTTTGGAATATTGATTTAAAGTTATTTAGTGCTACCATCCGTCATTATCAAACTTTTTTTAACACGGTACAGATGCTAATTCTCACGAGCGTCTGACTAGCTGTATTTGTATCACAATACTGACGGTGTCCCCTCTTTTACATTAGCACACTTAATTATCAACAACATAAACTAATTAATTTAAATAAATTACATATATTAGAAATTCTCTTAATTGATTCACTTAGATAAATTACGTAAAATATTAACTGTATCAATTTATTTATTTGCATTATTATCATTATATTATTACTTATTATCATCCAGATACTGAAAATGAGGTTTTTCCTGCATCTAATTATTCAATAATATATCTTTCTTTGCGCTGGTTTATAACAACTTTAAAAACTTTCGAAAATATTAAATATGTATTGCTCGTTGCAATGTATAAGCACAGGCAACTGAAAGCTTTAGTCGCCAATTTAAACCTATTCTATTTTGAGGTGAGTTAGCAATTGGTATGGGGCGTAACTTAATCCCCGAACAGGATTTTATCACGAAAGTTAGCAGACTTGAACAGGAGTGTATGGGCTGCCATTACTTGCCGTAATTTTGGTTTAAATGCTTTTGTTATAGAGTAATTTCATTAAACAAAAGCATTATTTTTGCTTTATCAACGATAAAATCTGAACTAAGAAAATACGCTGGCAGGGTTTTGGAGTACTAAATGGTGTCATCAGTCCGAGGCTGGAACTGTTATCGTGGGTGTTCAGGTAAAAGAGAAATCGATCTTTAAGTTTTTACCCGAAAATCACAATTATGACGTAACCCATAAGATAACATAGGTGTAAATGTTAATTGATTTAGTCACCGAACACTAAAGGTTGATCTACTACCCAAAAGAATGTATGTAGGGCAGTAGATAAGGAGTTTTGGGCTAAGGGTGACAATATCTTTAAGATTTGCAACGAACCTGAAGAGTCACTCCCAGGATAAACTTTATCCCGTCAGCACGACTAAGACCCCGTTCCCATACGTAGATCGATCTAGCAGGAATGACCCATCTCCGAGGGGTTTCTCGCTAAATTGCGTTCAGCTTATGCCCCTATTTCACACAGACCACGAATCCCACGAATGGCCATGAATTGACAAATTTCACGATTTGTGGTTCAATCGTAATCAGCTCTTGAAGTTCTTAACAGATTCGTATATATTCGTAGTCAGTTCTTGTACTTCTTGACCAACAGGAATTGGTGGCAAAAACTTTGATGCCCCTATTTCACACAGACCACGAATCCCACGAATCCCACGAATCGCCAGGAATTGAAAATGTCAGGATTCGTGGTTGAATCGTAATCAGTTCGTGAAGTTCTTAACAGATTCGCATATAATCGTAGTCAGTTCTTGCAATTCTTGATCAATCGGGACTTCGTGAAAAAAAATTTGAGCTGTCCAAAGTTATGGCCACGGACTCCCGATTCCAAAAAATTGTAGTGAATTTCTGGACAATATTCGTGCGATTCCAGCCGAATCCCACGAATATTCGTAACACTATCGCACCTGTATCGTAACTGAATAAGTAGAGCGTGTCGAATTAGACCAGAAAATTGGCAAAATCTCACGAATCCTCACGAATCCTGAAATTTGTCAATTCCTGGCGATTCGTGGGATTCGTGGTCTGTGTGAAATAGGGGCCTTAAGCGGCTCTGATGCACGCCCACTGAAGCTGTTAGGGGGTAATTAATAATCGTTAAGCATCTTAAGTAGACAGACATCTAAGCCGCTTAAGCTGAATTTAATTTAGCAAGAATCCCCTCGAAGATGGGTCGAACCTGCTAGATCGATCTAGGAATTGGAATGGTGCTTATTCAGCTTCATATAAACTGGATTACTTCCATAGGGTACCGACAGGCAAGCTATCACAAAATGGAGAGAACATTTCTTCTGTGGCTGTTAGTGACTACCTGTTATTTAGGCTTCGCATCAAGGTACCGGAAAATGCTCATTACCCTTCGTATAATTACCATATCTTCGTTCTATTTCAATATGTTAGAGTAAACAGAAGTTAAGAATGCCACAAAATAGGTTTCTACGATTCTACTATAAAAGCGTGTTGCAACCATATGGTTTTTAAATTATCATTATTTTCCAGCGAAGAGTCAACTTGCAGTGAGCAATGCGATGCTAAACTTGTTCAAATGACGAACGACCTGGATTTTTTTGCGTAACCAGTATGAAGAAGCTGTGCAAAGACTGAAGGATGTGGAGGCTAACTTTGCAACAATGATGGCAGGAAAACAAGGAGGTATACAATACGTGTTTTTGATAGCATTAAAAAAGTGTATCTAAACTCATGTCTAGCAGATTCTTAAACAGAGAAGTGTGAACCAAATATACAGTATATGGATTCCCTGTAGAACAGGGTGACCGAAAAAAAAAACATAAAAATTTAAATCATACAAAAGTCCATCAAATTTCAAGAAACTTGCTGGACTTAAACTTTAATATGTGTATGATCATTCCCCAAAATTTCAGTTATCTTGGTCACTTTGCATAAAAGATATTATCTTTTAAAAAAATATGTTCCAAATGGTCTCAGAGGCATTGGATGCACATTTGCATACGTCGCGAAAAAAATTGTCAATTTATCAAACACATTGCTCCATTGGGATTTTCCTGATATTTGCTGTGATTGCTCCTCACACTTCACCAAATATTTGAGCATTGTTCTGGTTCAAACTGTCTTTGAGATACCCCCACAGATAAAAATCTGGGGAGGTTCAAGTACGGTGAATCCGGTGCCCACTCAACGTCACACTTTCTGCTGATCAGCCACCCTGACTCCTAGGGGGATGTCCGGTCCTGTGATGTGCCCGGCCTGAAGGTCGGGAGAGGATGGCAACGGACGAAATGTTCGTTCTTGTGATGTGCCCGGCCCGGAAGGTCGGAAGAAGGTGGAAACGGACGAAATGTCCGTTCTTGTGATGTGCCCGGGCTTAAGGTCGAAATAGGATGTCAACTGACGAAATGTCCGTTCTTGTGATGTGCCNTGTGCCCGGCCTGAAGGTCGGGAGAGGATGGCAACGGACGAAATGTTCGTTCTTGTGATGTGCCCGGCCCGGAAGGTCGGAAGAGGGTGGAAACGGACGAAATGTCCGTTCTTGTGATGTGCCGGGGCTAAAGGTCGAAATAGGATGTCAACTGACGAAATGTCCGTTCTTGTGATGTGCGCGATCGGGGAGGTCGGATGAGCGGTTCCAGACCAGGGGTCTGCTTTTTTTTTTTTTTTTTTTTTTTCAGGATTCGGAAATGTTGGCTCCAGAAAAGAAGTCTGAAGAGTTCTAGGCAGCACACAGACTGACGTTCCCATGCAACATTCCACCTAGAGGAATCATTTCCAGACTAGACGCAACCAAGAGTTTGGAGGATACTTAAGACATTGTCGTTGAAACTAAAAAGTTGAATTTTGTCTTAACAGTTGCGGTCTACTATTTAACCTTGAAGTATGCTAGTTGTAATTTTAAAACGTGTACTTTTTAAAACAACTGAGCTAGTTGAAACGCCACCTCATCTTTGAAAACTGAAAAGTGGCTTTAATCTTCGCAACGAAAGAGCTCATTAAAACATAACTAGAACATTGTGACCGGAACACTGTTCTATAGGGCTTTAAAGGAGATACTCGAAGTAACGCTACCGAGTACTTACATAGTGCTTGCATAACTTTAACCCATTGTAATATTATCTGTTTTCATTTTATTTTATTTTACTTTTCAAATTGAAAATTTCCACTCTTGTCATTGGCTCAAGATATATTTTCCCGCGGGAGTGCCCCGATCCGGAACAAATTGCGGCGCCCCTCCCGGGCTTGGACAGCGCCGGAGAAGGCGTGCGTTTCAATATATATAGATTAGACTGTATTTTCAATCTGAACGAAAGAAAGAAAAAAATAAATATAAAGCATTTTTGAACAACATGCACAGATACCCTGTCAGCATATATATATCCTCTATATTGTACTTTTAGCAAAAGGCCAGGACTGTGCCGAGTTATATCAGAACGGAATAAAACTGAGTGGAGTTTATACCATAACACCCAACGTAACAGCCGGGCGTGCATTTGAAGTCTACTGTGACATGGAAACAGACGGGGGCGGGTGGACGGTGAGTAAGACATCTGTTCAAAATTGTTCTTGTTTTGAAAATTATTTCTGATTAAAAATATCCGAAACAAGATAAAGAAGAATAACTGGAATATATTTCTATATACCTGTCACGCCACATTTTAATTTCAGTTATCATGTAGCATAGGCTGCTACATAATTATGGTATTTTTACATTATTATGGTATTTTTCACAAATCGTTTTAAATATTTTTTCTCTAAAAAGAAAAGTTGTTCACTTTGAATAAGTCATGTCTATGATAACCTTTATTTGTCCCTAGTTAAAGATATCGTTTAAGCTATATAAAAAGAAAATGTACAGGAAGATCCGAAGTGATCAGAAATGACACAGAAGTGACAATAACCCAATATGGTAATTTAGTAATTGTGTACTTTAACGGAACTATGTAAACCTAAACCAAATAAGGGTAAAGATTTTTCAAACAGACAGTTTTTATCTACTTGGGAACCCCTAGCATATTTCTTGTAAATTTTAATTACTCTATATTATAATACATATGATTGTTACCGCATGCTGTATGGTTTATGTTTATGATAAATCTGTAAACTCTCCGAGAAACTATATGTTATTGGTAATGCAGCTAGTACATCTGTCCATTATATAAAGACTTTCAGGTTTATTTACATTATAGTAATACAAATACCAATCTCACAGAGTGGTTATTACAGTTATAACATTATATTGTACACCTAATCTAAATCTAAATTGAATTTTACAGCAAGCCGAAACACCTTAGATTTTAAAAACTGCAAATTTCTAAAAAACTTACTGGAATGTATTTCACTTGAGCGACTTCGCATGGGTACTTGCTTATTCAATATTATTTTAATGGCGTATTATAAAATTTTGAGCCACAAACAAAATTATTTCAGATGTAATCATTTAAACATTATCTACGCCTATGTATAATGAACGGGACGCTAAAACCCGATCAAATATAAAATTTAAGGTCACAACATGATTCCATATACCCAGTATGTGTATCTACATGTACCTGAAGTATTGCTTTACGCGGGGATTTGATATCACATTGGGTCATTACAAATAGCAGACATAAAGACTTCTCTAAAGGTATTGAAAGCAAATGATTGAAACACGATAGAAAATAAAAACAAATCAAATTGGCTGTACGTACTCTCTGAGCTAAACTTATATACATTAAGGCACAGTGGAGACGTGTCCATTGACTATTCGCTCAGAAGTGGTCATTAATCATATTGGCTTCATTTAAAGCAGAGCGGCTAATGTGTTTTGTTAATGATAATAATATTATGTCAGAAATATACCATATTTAAAACAATTTTAAACGTTAGGGTTTTTCTCTTATTCGCTCAGGTAAAACGAAAATCAACAATGTTATGTTAGACGACAATGTTGAATTTATCGTGAATAGTAGTACTCACAGTTCTAAGCCTTTGGCCCTTGTAAATTTGAGAATCTGTTTGAAAAAATAAAATGTAAGATATTTCCCTCTCGAGCATTGCGACTTGTGACGATTTTTCATCAAACAAGACTCTAATAAGTTTTCTTTCATACGCTCCTCTCTTATCTTTATGTCTTCTTCCGACATGTTTATGAGTCGTTCTCTGTTCGAGTTCAGTAACCTATTTGCCGCAGCTTCAAGTTTTCCCTGTGTTTTGGGATACGGTGAGTTGACAAACCATGAACCCGGTTCCCCGGCCTGCACATAATAACTTATAAGGTCAAGGTTTAGGTAATGGGCCATTGCGGCTATACTAGACTCTTCGTGCAAGTACAAGTCACATTTTGACAACATGAGAACATCTCTAAGAACAGCTCTGCCAACCAACATGGCAAGCCGTGGGCTTTTGAAAATCGTGTCGAGAATAGGTCGAATTGAAAATTTTACTTCTGTCGGCAATATTCCAATGAACTCTTTCTCCAAATTCTTTCTTAAATCTCTCGACTGTCTCTTCATTATCTGCCGCAAGAAATATCCGTATAGACTTGGGATGATTTTCTTTATATTTAAGCTTGTTGCGCAATTCTTGTGGGAGGACGTCGGCTGAGGTTTCCACTGCTTTCATGACCTTCTTGGTTTCGGCTATCCAACGATCCAGTGACACGAGTTGTGAGACTTCTTTCCTGTGATCAGTTGACCTGACGTGAACTCCAATATTGAAATAACCCCTCATCGCTCTATTATACGCTGTCTCGACAGACTGCCTTACTACATTTACCGGCTTAAAGTATTTTGTCAAAACATGATGCGCTAGAAGCCTAGTGGTATTCGTAATCTCTCCACGGTACGTGTTTAAATCCTTTCTCACTTTTCTCTTAAAACTTAAATCTACCAATTTGGCCTTTCCATACGATTTTACTATAGGCTCAGGAGCCACTATGCAGATTTTATGTTCTGTCTTATTCTCGTCATTATCTTCTAGAGCCTCGAAAAACCAATTAAAATGATTCACCTGTTGTTTGGATTCGCTTCCACAGAAACTGCAGTGGTACCATTTCACTATGGGTTCACCTCCCAATAAAAGACATGATGTCAGTATTTCTACGGCGTAAAGCACTGCGGATATCATTCCAGGCCCATCATGGCCACACAAAAATAACGTGTCCTCTATGTAACATGTCACTGTATTCGGCCGCAGAGGACGGTCCCTGCGATCGTACAATATATCAATCAGGTATTCAGGTGAATACTTAAGTTCACTGCTATTGATGACGACCGGTTTGAAAGTCCATGTCGGAACATTGTGTGTTGATTGAACGTAATTGTTTTTTACGGGAGGTCTTCTTGTTGGTGTTATATGATCTAAACCCTTTTCGCCTAGTAGGCCTAAGTTTATGGCATATCCAGCATTCAGCATGAATTCTTTTGACGTTGGTAAGTCAGTGATTTCCTCTTGATCCGGTATTTTCTCTTTCAAAGTGTTACAAAATATGTAAAATAATATAAGAAGAACAATAATAGCCATGAAGCGCCATGACAGCTTGTGTTTCCGTAGCAAACCGTGTAAATTACAAGCCATCTGTGGATTTTTGCGACCGTTTGTTTTTCTGCTTTCAGTGGAAATGTGGTCTCTAAAATAACAATTTATAGCGCTGCTTGCGTTTAGCAATGAATGCCGGCGTGACGTGACGTGACAGAGCCTGCATAATTTAAGTGAGGATGGACTGTCTATTGCACGGACCCCATGTTCGTCAAACACCGGTACACCTCAATGAAGTCACATTAACTGCATTAGCAAGGTGAATTATCTTCAACCAGCACAGATCGTCAATGGATATTGACCTAAAACATGTACCAAATGCATAAAATATCACACTATAGGAATATTTCACGATGTATTAAAACAGGAAAGGAGCCATATTATAGATGAGGTGAAAACAGGATTATATCAGGATTGTATTTTAATCAAATCCCCTTTTAATCACGAGAACCTCATTGAACTTTAAAAATATTGAGTCGTCTTTGAAATGTACTCCCTGTAATATTCTTGATCACAAAACACGACTTTGAATGTGATCATGGTCACAAAATGTCGATTTCTTTCAAAAGGTACATGTATCCATTTGTAAATAAGTGTTTTCCTCTCACATTAGACCATGTGCGCATAAACCATGAGTCCATAAAATGTGGTCATTGTATACAAACGTATGCAAATGGAGACGTTGATATTTGATGTCCTCAAACTCCATGCAAGGCCGACCTACTGGCCTGTATTTCAACTCTCCGGTGCAAAATATTACCCACAGCGATAGGCCCCCGTTTGGTGACGTATATACTCCCCGCATCAGTTTTTGGATGATGATTCGACGATTTTATCATTTTTAAGTCCTGAAACACGTATTTTTTTATGAAAGATTGTTGTATTTCTGTAAGGTCTAAAAATTGTGTTGTGTTTTCACCAGGGCTGATATGCGTGCATGTTGTCACACCTCCAATTTCTTCTGTTTTTGTTAACAAATTATCACATCACAGCTCTGATCTTCTAAAGTCATTTTCATACAGGTAAAATATGGAGGCGAAATTGAAGACAGCCAATTCTCACCAAATTGATGCACAATTAGCAACAGGATGTGACCCTACCGCGTTTTAATATTTTATTATTAATGTTAAGACATCTTTGTTAAAATTAAACGTAGCAGAAGACTGAAGTTTAGTGCTTTAATATTAAATCATAAAATCAGGCTATTTTATCGTATAGGTGTTCCAAAAACGTGTTGATGGTACAGTAGATTTTTACCGTGGATGGGAAGCTTATAAACACGGATTTGGAAATCTGAACAGTGAATTCTGGCTTGGTATGTGACACAAAAAATTGATAGAAATAACGATAAGCGAAAAAAAAAACAATTTTAACTATGTTCAACAATCAACGTGCATTTAAGTAGCTTTAAATTGATTTTAAATTAAGATTGTATTTTTTTCATTTAAATTTTTTTAGAATTTTTATTTGTAAAGCGCTTTTAGTTGCAAATTGCACTGAAACGTACATTATTAATGTGCTTCACAAGAAATAAATATTTTTTATTGAAACTAAATTCTCATTTAGAATACCAAGAAAATGGCACAAAGCTCAATTTCAACATTGGATATACGGGTACGGTTTTTCCAAACACAATACAGAATATATGTTGTTGTTTTTTTTGCTACGTCAGTTCAATCATTTATCCACATTGTGATCAAAGTCTTATTTGTGTTGTAGGGAATGACCTCATATACCTAATGACCAATGACCGACGTTATGAACTACGTGTGGACATGGAAGATGTGACAGGAACCAAAACCTATGCCCTGTATAACTTCTTTGCTATTGAATCGGAAAAGACTAACTACAAACTGAAACTGGGCGCATACACGGGCAATGCAGGTAACCCTCGTGTACATGAAGTCACAAACTTATTCCTAAAAGTATGCACCTTTTAAGAAATAGCTTTAGCCAGCTTTTTAAAAGAGTTAAAAAACCAAGATGAAAAGTGAGGCCCAAACACAATACGCAGAATCAGTTCTTCGCCATGTTATGTTTCAGGTGACTCTCTTTCTCGCCATAATGGGTATCCATTCAGCACAAAAGATAAAGAAAACGACAGCTATAGCGGTGGCCATTGTGCACAACTTTACAAAGGTGCCTGGTGGTATGAAAACTGTCATTCGTCCAATCTAAATGGTTTGTACCACCTTGGTCCACATACATCATACGCTGATGGTATAAACTGGTACTCATTTAAAGGTTACTACCATTCTTTAAAGAGAACCGCAATGAAGATTCGACCTATCGGGTTTAATGCCGGATCTGTTGTCATTGGATAGATGCAAAATAACAACAAAGCTCTTTCAATTAACCCCTTATCTGGTTAGCGCACCGGCAATTGAGATACAATTTAGTTTTTCAACAAGTTAACGATTTTAACATTGTATGCATACAAACATCACTTCGGAAAATAAATGGTTTTACATGCACATTATATTTTGCAGTCCTTTTTATTATCCATTTTATGTTGTTTTATTGAATCTTATTTATAAAAGGTGGTGCAACGGTATTTATTTGTAAATTCGTCTCCACAATAAATACAAAGTGTGTCTAAAAAAATAATAAGTCACCCCAATTTTTTATGCACAGACACAGTCTGTACATATAGCCGTCACCTACGTCTGTCGTCGCCGTCGCCGTCGTCGCCGTGCACTTTTACCGATAACACGATAAGTGGAAAACTATTTTTCTTTTGGCTTGAAAATTACAGAACTGATGAATATTCATAATACGCAGATCAAGTTCGAAAATCAGCATGATCGTGCCATTTTTATGGAAGTTATGCTGTTTTTTCACTTTTAAACACACTTTTTTTTTCACATATATGCAACACTGATAACAAGTTAAGTGAAAAATCATTTTTGCCTTTTAGCTTAAAACTTACAGAACTGATGAATATTCATAATACGCAGGTCAAGTTCGAAAATCAGCATGATCGGGCTATTTTTATAGAAGTTATGCTGTTTTTAACTTTTTTTTCAGCATTTATGCAACACTGATAACACGATAAGTGAAAAATCGTTTTTAC